GGCCCCTAAAATTGGGATTTGGGCCCCTAAAATTGGGATTTGGGCCCCTAAAAACGGGGGTGGGACACTCACCCAGCTGCTCCTTCAGGCGCCCTGGGGGAGGCAGAGAGAGATCCGTTCAAATTAATTCAAATTAATACAAATTCACTGATATAATTCCATTTATGGGCTGTTTCATCATTATCTAGTATTTAATAAGGTAAAATAACATCTGAGTTTCTGACTTACTGATCTCGGCCTCGTTTTCCCCTGGAAGGAGAAAGAGCTTGAAATAAATAATTTCCTTTTAAAAGCCTAAACAAGCAAAGATAAAACTGAACAAATGCAAGGAAGGGCTTCAAAAATCCAGAAAATACTCACGGATTTGGGTGTCTCGGGCCTCTGGAATGAGCAGAAATAAAGGAAATTATATTGTGGGGAAAATCCAGTTTAATGTCATTATTCTTTATTGCAAAATTGTACAAGCCACCGTTTTACAATCCCCATTTATATCCATATATTCTATGGAGATATTTATGTAATGCCATATTTATTTATATGTATTTTAGTGTCCAAATTCAATTAAAACCCAAATTTCCCCCTCAAAACCCCTTAAAAGGAGGGAAATCCTCACCCAGTTCTGTCTCATGTTCCCCTGGGAGAGAGAAAAGAGAGAAAAATGGGAATTTCCTGACGTTCCTCATTTGCTGTTCGATGGAATAAATGGGATTATGAGAAAATTCGGGCACTCACGGAGCTTTTTCTTGCAGCACTCTGGGAAAAAAGGGGGAAATTGGGTTATTTTGGTTATTACAATGATAAAATAATGGTTATAAAAGCAATTATTATGATGGTTAATATTTGTTATTCAGCACAAATAATTAAATCGAGATGAAAAGAATCCGCTCACCAACATCCGCAGTGAGCTCCCCTGAAAAGGAGGGAAAAAAGGGAATTTTAAGGCCAAATGTCCCTTTTCCTGCAGCCCCAGCAGGGGGAGGTTGGGGAATTCCAGGAATTCCAGGAATTCCCTCCCCTGGAATTCCTCCCGGGGGGTTTTTGGGGCGGGAAAAGGCCCCGAACTCACCGATTTTCGTGTGTCTCTCGCCTGAAAATGAGGGGGAAAAAGGACAAAAAAAGCCAATTTTGGGGTTATTTCTGGGGGTTGGAATCAGTTTTGGGGTAATTGAATTAAAATTGCAGGAGGGGACTCACCGAGTTCCACCGTGAAAAGTCCTGGAAAAGCAGGAAATCCCATTAATTCCTGTTGGATTCCCCCCCCCCAGCTCTTCCCACGGGATTTGCCCCTTTTTCCCTTGGAATTTGGGTTGTTTCTCCTCTCGGGCCCCAAATTTTGGGGGAATTTAAGGAATTCCAGGGAGGAGACAGAACTCACGGATTGTGGAGTCACACTTGGCTGCAGGGAAAGGAAAATGGGAAATATAAAATATAAAATACAAAACACAAAATATATAAAATACAAAATTCAAAATACAAAATTAAACTATAAAATACAAAATATAAAATATAACATGTAAAATATAAAATACAAAATATAAAATATAAAGTGTAAAATACAAAAGCTCAATCTCAAAGCAAGGCTGAACGTTAAAATCAGAAATTAAAATTTAAAACAATAAAAAATCGGGGTTTTGGGGCTCTGGCTCCTTTTTCCTCCCCCCCCCCCAACACTCACCGAGCTCTGATTGGAGCTTCCCTGAAAAACCAGAGAAATAAAGTGAATAAATTCTTAAAACCAGAGAAATAAAGTGAATAAATTCGAATAACTGGTAATTAATTAACCATAAATGAAATATAATCTTTCATGTGATCAACATTGATGGCGAGGAGAATAATTTTAATTGTTCCCATCATCAATTCTCCCCAGAAATGGGATTTAATAACCAATATATTGAATTTAACTGGGCCTACAATCAGTTCTAACCAATAGAATTGATTCCAGTTGGGGGAACCCCCCAATTCCAGGCCAAGGGGCCCCGGGAGGGGCAGAATTCCCAAGTTTGGGAGCCCCAGATCCAGGGAATGGAGGCACTTACGGAGCCCGGAGTCGCGCTCGGCTGCAGGGAGAGAGAGAAAAACACCCAAATCAGAGGGGTTGGGGCAGTTTTTTACATTTAGATATTTTTTTTTCCATTTTTATATCCCTATTTTTACCAAGTAACAAGTAACAATTAACCCCAAATTGGAATTAAGGAAAGATTCCTCACCCACCAGCGCCGTGAGTCTCCCTGTGGGACGAGGGAAAACAGGGATTAATCCAGGAAAAGGGACAAAACTGCCCCAAAATTGAGGGGTTTAAGCCCAAAACTGAGGGGTTTAAGCCCAAAACTGAGGGGTTTTAGCCCCAAACTGAGGGGTTTTAGCCCCAAACTGAGGGGTTTTAGCCCAAAATATAAAATTAAAATATAAAATATAGGATGAGCGGGGAAATAAGGAGCAGCACTCAC